CCCACCTCTGAGCAGACACCCCAAGGACTAAACAAAACAGAGACATGACTACCCTTCAGGAGTTCTGTCCAGGTTAAGCCAGAAGTCAAGCACTTGGATGTGGTCTGCAACAAAATTTACACCTTAATTTATTAATCTGAGAAGTCTGCCCAGTAATTCAACAGACATGGATGGCTCACAACACAGCTCACAAAAAGCAACTTCTTTGCACTGCTTGACTTAAGTCTCAACAGGTTACACACCCACTGCATCTGCCAAGTCCCCTGGGAAGTTCCACAGAGATTCATCTGGTTGTGCTTTATAGTGCAGTCTGCAATTTAAGTAGCAGCTCATATGCCAAAACAGTTGGACAACCTTATGTATTTTTTCAGCAGTTTGTATCTTTTGAACCCCACTACATTAATATTTTAATAATACTATTACAATCTTAGAGTAAATGATCTCCACATGAACAAGGAATTCTCACATAAATCCCATGACGGAAAAGATGCAACACCCAACAACATGCTACCTCATTTCTTTGTCCTTAATCACTGATCTCAAAACCCAAAATACATCCAAGTCTCTGCAATGGAAAGCTTACATCAAAATCTGGCAGTTTTTTTAGCGTTTTGGGGTGGTTTTTCTATTACTGATTTATTTTCTTGCTTGATTTGTTTCATTTGTTTTTTAAATAAATTCAAAAAGCTTACATTCTGAAACCACACCGTAACCAGTAGTTATCACTGTATATATACATATATATGTATGTGTATATATATACAAATATAAACATATATAAAAACTATCTGCTACTCATGTCTCAAAGTATCTTCATAAAACTTTCTTGACAGGTGATGGACTTTACAATTACAGACACACACACACATGTGCCTATAAATTGGGAAATTTAAGAGGACTCAGCTGCATCTGGACAAGTCTGCAAGGTCAGCATATGCCACAGGAACTCTAAGAATCTGTAGTGTGGTTCACCCTCTAGGGTTTTACTGGGGAGTGAATGCTTTAGATTACTGCTGTAACTACAGAGTAAACTACCCATAAATCAGAGAGAAGAATCAGAACTGCACTGAAATCTTCCCATGTATTGTGGCACAGCTAAAGGAAAACAAATTTTAACCATTCAGTTAAAGCAAGTCCTAAGGTTAAAAATAACAATTATTTACTCACAAAAGCATTTAGCAGATATCAAGCAGATGCACTGCAAAAGAATCAGTGCTCTCTACCTTCAGCCACATTAATGACTGCTGATATTTACTGAGGCAGATACTTGAGGTATTCTTTATGTGGGCCAAATAAAAGCTGAAGAAAATTGAAAACAAACATGTTTGTGTGCACATGTATCTGTGTGTTATCAACACAGGAGTAATGGCAAAAACCTCTTAACGAGACCCAACAAAGCTATCAAACAATGCCTTAAGGGGAAAAGCAGTCCTTGCCAAACCTGAGCCTGCAGTGTCAGCAGTTTATTTATATAGAAAACAACCCTCCCTCACACATCACACAAATAATTGTACTCTCCAATGCTGAATTTCCTCACATAATACAGTAGGGTGACATTTTAATGAAAATCTTCTACAAAGATACCAACTAACCCTGTGCAGAGACAATTTTTTATTCAGCTGTGGAGTTAAAAGTTGAAATTAGCCTTTATATCTAAAGTAGGCTGACAACAAGTAATCCTCAGCATCCGGAAGCAGTTCCACATCTCTTCAGAACCACGGGCCAGCAGTATCTGCTACTGCATATTCCTGACATCAGCCTCCAAACACAGGTCCTTTCATCACATACAGAGTGACAAGACTTCAAATTCCTAGCAGGCATCTCATCTACTTAGCAAAATCTCCAGATACAGCTGTTAAGTATTGTAACTATCTACCTTTTGCATTAATGATTTTAACTTCTATGGTAGAAAGATACAGAATATTTTACCCTTCTGGAGACAAAAGAAATGAAATTCTGGGAAAAAAAAAAAGAAGTTTTCAGTAGATTTACATTTCTGCAGATGAAGACTTGCTATTCTCAGTGGGAAACCAAACCAAACAACTTCTGAAGCAAAAACTCTACAGCAACTACCTGTAAATCACTAAGTAAATTGAACAAAGTAACAATTCAAAGGATACTTGAAATCAAAATGTAATTTCCTTCCCCTCAGTCCAGAGCTATTTCAGATCTTCTACTGATTTGAAACAAAATAAATTTTAACAGAAAGATAGCTTTTTTTCTGTACAGCAAATGCTGCTTATATTGAACACATTTTTTCTTTTAAAAAGGAGAATTATTCTTATTAACAGAGAACCACTGCTTAGATTTTATATGCTCACTTTACCCTATGCAAACAAGTCTTTTGACTACTGCAGTTAGTCTAGCTGACAGAGAAATGACCTTCCCAAACCACAGAGAGTAACCTTGAAAGGGTTATTTTTGGTCTGAGTAGTTTTCTATATTCTAAACCAGAAGGGAACATCAAGAAGTTTTTTTGAGTACCTTACAGCATTGCAAAACTCTAGCTGTTACAGGACAGTACCCCCACTTTCTTCTTCCCTTTGTTAACATTACATACAGTCATCAATAACTTCTCCCAAGACTGTTCATGCACTGGTACTGAAAAGAACTAAGTTAAGAAATCACTGTTACTAAATATCTGGTTTTATGGGCGCTTGACAACCCCATTACAAAGTAAGTATACTCAGTAGTACTTTGAACACAGTCCAGAACAGCAGCACTATTACTATGTTAGTCTAGGTAAACATTTGGACATCTTTTATTTATACTAAGCACTGCTTCAGAGAAAGCACAGCAATATTGTATCTTTTAATGGTACCAAACAGGAGCAAGCAGATCTGCAACTGCATTTCAGAACCTTCTTTGCAGTTGTATGCAGTGAGAAGCATTTGGCATTTGAAGTTCACAGCTTTTAAAACTTCTACGACTAAAATTATTTCCCCATCTTCTAATACTAGATCTGTGCAGAGGGGGGAAAAATATCACAAAACCAAACAAACTCCCTGTGCACTCATCTTGGATGCTGAGACGGCTGATGTCAGCTATTAAGACTGATGGTCTTTGACAGAAAAATCCTCCAAGTAGCTTTTGGGGAATAGCTGTATTTCATCTATGGATTTAAACTATGGAAACAAAAGAAGCTTTAGGACGAATTAAACTGAACTTAATTTTGCTGTGTTGCAAATTCTTCTATTAAAAATCCAATCATTTCAAAATAATTATTCACAACTAGAGCATCTTTGTTTAATATCTTCAATATTGCTAATTTGCAGGTAAGTTTGGAGTAAAATGCAAAGGAAATAAAAATCTGTGCCTAGATCTTATCTAGGCATTATTTTATAGATGGTCATTGGTATGTGAAGTTCCTCGCCCACTGTGATGTGGTAACTGAGCCCCTAAGAAAAAATTAATTTCCCTGGTGTACAATTCAGTGCCATATCCTAGTTGGCAACAGTGGCTTCCTTAGTGTGTGACTGTTACCAGTTACTAGAGCCCTTCACACAGAAGGTTGCAAACCTTGGAGCAGGATTAGGACAGGTGTGAACTTAAAGCTTTCAGCCCAGAGCAGCAACTATCAAGCCAAACGTAGTGCTTCTTGCATGCCATGCACAAAGCCATGCACTCTTGTGGGAATAGCAGTCCCTATCTGCCCTGGACAAATGAGCTGCTGAAAAGGTCTGTTCACTTATCTTCAGAGTCTGAAACAAGATGCCACTACTAAGCTGTGTATTAACCTGTAATTGAGAAACACTCTGGGATAGAAACCAGATCCAATAGCCTCCAATCCACCCTCTTCTGAGAGAGGGTCCTGAAGTCAGAGACTGATCTTTAAACTATTAATTCATACTCAGTTGAAGTTTTGTTGGGAAAGCTCCTGATGAGAAGGAAATGGAAATTAAAATCTTCCATAATAGGCAGTTTTATGCCAAAAGACTGAACAAAATGACCTCAAGAAGAGATTTGCTAACTTGAGGCAATTTTTGATCATGTTTAATGTATTGCCAGCTGCCAGGAAATCAATATTCCTCTAATCAAGCATAGAAACTTTCTATGTTTTTCAGAATTCAGAGGAAAGAATGAGTTCTACATGAATTGTGTTTAACAAATGGTGGTTAAATACAGTATATATTGTTTTCTAATATGAATGCAAGTTTAGTCTTCCCTCTCTACAGCTTTGGATGTCAAGGAATACTTTCTAGTCTGTTAGTTTATATAAAGTGGTATAAGAACATAAGAATTGAGGGTGGTGAGGCACTGGAACAGGTTGCCCAGTGAAGCTGTGGATGCCTCATCCCTGGAAGTGTTCAAGGCCAGGTTGGATGGGGCTTTGAACAACCTGGGCTAGTGAAACTTGTCCCTGCCCATGGCAGGGGAGTTGGAACTAGATGATCTTTAAGGACCTTTCCAACCTAAATCATTCTAAGATTCTAGAACTCTATACAAAGTCGTGGAGTGTAACAAAAATTGTAAAAGCTAGGTCAGCAGAAGGCTTCTCTTTTCTGGAATTTCTCTCTGAAAATGTACACAGCAAAGAGGAATTTATTCAATTCTCATTTCAGTAAAGTATCAAAGTAATTTGCTTTATAAACAGCATCAACAAGTGATTACAACTGCTTAGAGATGCCCATTGACACATTCAATCATCATAATGGATCAGTTTCAGACTGCGATGACTCTAGGTTGCAAATGCAACTTTAGAGAAACCTTATCTTTTATCTTGATAAGTAGAGATAATTTCCTCACACCTTTAAAAGCAATCCATACCTGTATTAATAATATTCATACTGTGCATGGACAATAAAAGGGTTTTGGACAAACATACCCTCCTCAGATTCCACAGATGGAAAGGGTGACCCACCTTTACCAGAAGGCCACTGACCAACTGACTACATTCTGCCCAAACAGAAGGAAGCAAAACAAATCACAAACGTGCAAGTGAACAACTGGAAGCTGCTCTGCTCCAAGATTTCAAAGAAAAGATAATTCAGATGCTGACTTATTCTTCTACTTACTTTTATCCCCCCATTCCTGCCCCTATCCCATGGTAGGAGACAAGATTTGTTGAGTAGAGAAAGAGAGCCAAGGACATTCAAGAAGAAGAATATACATGACAGTTCAGAAACAAATTCTTTGGTAGTCACACACTACTGCTACCACAGGTCAATGTTAGCTTATAAGCAGCAGCGTTAGAATATCTGGAGGAGGTTAATTACCATGGCAAAATAAACAGCATACAAAGGATGAACCAAGTGATTTAATTGCTCCTTTTCTTTTGCCATTTGAACCAGTTATTTATAATAGGATATTGAAAACTGGAATTCAAACTATTTTACAAGCTAGCAATAAGAAAGTAAGGAGGACACTGAGATCTGAAACATCCACCACGTGCCAATCCTGAAAGGTATTCCATCTTTAAGATGGTTTCTTTGTGGGGGTGGGAGAAGTCAAAACCAACATTTAGAAAAAAAAATCTGTAAATTAAACTGATTTCTTTCTGTGTTGGTCAATCACCTGGTATTACAGAGTATCATCCAGGAGAAGGCTGTGATTTGCATCCTAAGCAAAACTGTGAAAACTGAACAGGGATCTGGTACACTGAATTTTTGTAATCAAGAATGACAGTGATTGCCACTCCTAAAACCATAGTTATAGCTGATTACAAATTTATAACCATACTGGATATAAAAGCATTTGTCAGAAGCACAAATCATGCTCAGGCATGGAACTTTTCTTATTTAAGTATAAATATGTATGCTTGGTCAGTTTAGGGATGTCATGAATATGGTGACAATCTCAAAACTTTTGGGGCTGTCATGCTACCCAAACAAATTAGCACATTTTTACTGTGCTCACAACCTGCTTTGCCTTGTTCTATTTATCAGATTTTTTCAACTGGCTGGAACCACAGGGACTGTACTTTCAGGAGGGAAATACCTGCTTGCAGAACGTTCCATGCTTGTTATGGACTTCACCATTAGAAAACTTCATGGGTCAAAAAGCGTAAAGACAACTAGTGACTTCATCAATTAACACAACACACCACTCCACAAAAACTACAGAAACAACTTCTCACCTGGGAATCTGTTACCCTGCCAATGCCTTCTCACTCCAGTTTAAAAGACATAAAGGGGGGGGAAAAAGTCAGTTCAAACCTGTAATTTCTCTAGAAAACAAGTGTGAGGGAGACAGAAGGAAATAAAGCAAGTCAGGAAAGGCCTGACTAGCCACATTTCATCACAGGCAAACTGTCTCAGCTGCTCAAGAGACTACCCAAGCAATATACACATTGCACTCATACATACTCAAGACCCCCTGCAATTGCCAGAGATTTGCCTTTGTTCAGGTTCCCCTTTCCTGTCTCTCAACTTTTAAAAGACACTTCAAAGAAGATCAAAAAGCTTGAAAGAAGTGTAGTTGTTTAGTCTGTAGAAGAGAAGATAAATGGGAGACCTGGTCACATTCTTCAAACACAAAGCAAGTTGGTATAAGAATGGGACTAAACTATTCACCAGGTCTGACACAGACATGAGAAAGAAAGTAAGATTTAAGTTCTGGAAAACTTTCAAATAAGAGACTGAACAGGCTGCCTTTGGAGGCTGTGGAATATCCAGCACTGGAAGGCTTTAAAAAACAGGTTAGGCAAACATCTGTCAGAAGTGTTTATAATATAATAGATGAGAATTAATGAGATTGTTTGCTCCTCTTCTGCTAAGGTCTTTTCATTATATCCAGAGTTACAAACCCAATATTTCCTTCTTTTGTATCCCTGTGTTTTATTTAACTTCAAAAAACATGAAGCAAAACCAACACTTCTGTGATATTTCCACATATTCAGTGTGTTTGTCTGGGACAACAAAAAACCCACAAAGATTTGCTAACTGCAAAATCACAAATAAACCACCTGTGATGTAAAACACCAATGTATTAAATTTACACTCACTCTGGATAAATTGACCTTTAACATCATGACACAGAACTGTATTTTCTTGTTCTCCAAGAGAAAAAATGGTGAAGACTTCAACTGGAGACTTACCAATCTGCAGTCATAAGATCTTCCTTAAAGGATTTTTTTTTTAAGGAAAGCACTTTTTCCCAAGCACAAAAAAACCCCAACTTTATATATTGAAAAATAATTGAATAAAGAAAGCAGAAGGCTGCTTTGAGAAGCATCCAAATCTCTTTTAAACTATATTAAATTATGAGTACATTTCCCCCCCATACTGTTTAATACTAATGTAACCATGGAAATGAAAAAATAAACATTGATTTCCCCTTCACTCCCATTATGACAGAAAATCTTGATTCTTGGTAAAAGTAAGAACCATACCAGAAACTCTTTAGAAGAATAAATGGGTTTCTGGGGGGCTTTGCTGGGCTGACACCATATAACTCACATCACTACAAGCAACCAGAGATGCTCTTTGCTTTGCTCACATCTGATGTTCCTAGCAGCTGTCCTTTATGCTGACCCTTCAGTTTTATCTATGCTGTCTGGCATTTAACCTTCTTTAGGCTTTAGGAAACACTCCCTTAGAAGAGACAAACATGAATGACTACATTCACATGACAGCTGTGACATACAGCAATCAAATCATAATCAGAAAAGTTAACAAATAGCATGGTCTATACCAGATTTGCCTTACAGCACACTTGATCAATCCTTCTTATGACAACTGCCTTGCATTATTTTTATTATAGAGGGATTTCCCAAGTATACTTATGGCACTTCTGAAGGAGGTGGGACTTGTAGGCACCCAAGAACTCAATTTTTATTTTCACTCTTGGTCTAGACAAGTCTTGGATAACACTGATCTCCTATTTTGCATCTCAATATGTGTTTTTTCTTGCCAATTCAAGATCCACCCTTCAGTCTGATGTCAAGGTATCTCTGCTGGTTCTTAATGCATTTTCAGAAATGAACAGAGTAACATGACATCCACAAAACTATTAATTCTACTTGAATGGGGAAGGGGCAGTGAAACTGAAAAACTTGTAATTTTCTCATTTGATTCTACTGCCAGTTGGTAAATTTACACAAAACAGCAACTTCAGAAGTGATTTATTGGTTCAGAAAGAAAACACAAATCACTACAGATTATTATTATCTTATGTTATCTCTTACTATCTCATAATTCAAACTAGCACAGTTCAATAGTATAAAATGTCCAGTATAGTTTAAGTATAGAAATACTTTGAGGCATTCTCACAGTATTTCCAGAAACTGCTTTTAAAAGCTTCGTGCAAACTGAGCATATTGTATCTCAATAGATTATAAACCAATATAAAAATCAAAGTTTTGAACTTTCTCGACTTTAGTCCTAATTTAAGAAACAAGAACACACACCCAACCCCCAAAGTCACAACCAACTAGGTCTATGGAACAAAACCAAATAAAAGATTAGGAGATTACTGAACTGATCGAACTATTGTGATGATGTGTCACTTTAAAGAATTCAGTACTCAAGCATATAGCATGAAATTTTAGTGATAAACATTACAGTTAAGTATATATACTT